GTTTTTTTTTGGGCTTAGTTTCTCACATAAATAATGGAACAAATGACCAATAGAAGGTTAGAGATTATTTAAAATAAGCACAGCTGCTGAAGAAAATACTCATAGCTGTAGGAAAATGTTTAATAATTAATGGCCTTTTGACTTAAGCCAGAGGTAACTGAAATGGAAGGTTTCATCAACTTCTCGATGAACTCTTTTGCTGGCAAGGCCCTCCACATCTTTCTTGTAACGAGATATTTTCAAGCAGTGAATGAATTTCATTGAAAATATATAATGCTATGTCCAGCTATAAAAGTAGGATACGCCTCATTACCGGTACACAATGTGGCAAGTATGAAGAATAAAGGACAATTCTTCAATGCTTGGCAAGAAGAAACATCTGTTGAATTACAAAATGACATCCTTCCTTCAACATAAATAAAGGAAGGAAAGAAAGAAGAATTTGATTCAATTGAACGCCTCTCCATCCATTTCAGCCTGAGTGTAAAAAACAGGCCACATTTTCCTTTCTTCATCTGGTTGATACTGCTTTAATAGCTGTATTGCTTTGATTAAGAATTGGTCTAAATTTGGGATGGGCAATAGTATCTCAGTGGCTTAATGATAAGGGAGATATGAATAAAGGGGAACATTAGGACAGGGATGGTAGGCATGTTGGTGCGCTTATGCACGCCCCTAACAGATCTCTTAGGAATGGGGTGAGGTCAACAGTAGACAGTCTAAGGTTAAAGTTTTGGGATTTGGGGAAGAAACCACAGAGTCAGGTAGAGTATTCCAGACATTGACCACTCTGTTGCTGAAGTCTTATTTCCTACATTCAATTTTGGTGCGCTTAACTTTGAGTTTGTGTCTATTGTGTGCTCAGATGGTCTCAGCTCTGGCGGTTCGAGCCATGGCGTTGTGTGGTGAATGAGTTCCCATCACTCATCTCAGCTTCAGCCTACTTTACAGTTAGAAAGCATATTGTATGCAAGTAGATAAAATAAGTACCACTTCAATGGAGTGACAAGCTGGTGCTCCGTACAGGCAGTCAGATTCTTTTTTTTTTTTTTTTAAAACAAGTTTTATTAATTTTTAAAACACACAAATTATCATTATTCATTACATGTTTAAACCTTTTTCCATTGTAAATTTAACAAGTCAGATAAATTATGATTCTGTTTTAAACCATTTCCATATAATATACCAAAACCTCTTATTCAATTTCCCTTTACTTCTCTTTACTCTTATTCAATATCATTATTATTATTTCATCTGATTCTTTCTGACTTAGTTACCATTATTCTCATTCTATATTTCTACAAGTTTTTACCAATTCTCCCCCCAAAAAAGACATATACACACAACACACAAAACATAAAAAAAAATCTTTTGGGAAAGTAACTTGGACCCAGGTGTCTCTCTCTTCCTGGACTTCAATTATATTCATGCTCATCTTACATATCATTACTTATTTTATTTACCATTCTAAACCTTCTATATTAACTTCTCCACATATTTCACACTTCTTAATTCTACCTTAATTAATCATCTTAGTTTAACTCATTATATTTGTATCTTTTGTCCATTTTTTATCATCCCTTTGTCTCATCCCTTATGAAAAAAAAGAAAATCAGTTTCTCCTGAAATCATTAATCAGAGTATGATGCCTTTCTATCTCCCCCCTAAGTTAATCAAATTAATATTTAAAATAATATCTAATACCCAATCAGATTTTGCTTGGTACATTCTATCTAACTAATACATCCAACACAATTAAGTGCATAATTAGAGAATAAATCCAAATATTAAAAAGAAATACTATAATAAAAATTTTATAATAACATCAATACCATAATTTTATTAAACTCTTTAATTAAAACAATATTCTAAACCTCTCCTATTATTAAGTTTTAAAGCCAATCATTTTTAAACATTTTAACATTTTAATCTCTTATCAACTCTTAAACCATTGCAATACTACCATCTCATCTTATGTACCTTGCAAAATCTTTTTTTTAAAAAAAAAATTATACTTTATCCATTATCCATAAAAAATTCCTTTTTTCCATTTAATTTCAAAACATTGTAGCTTTTCTCCACCTTTTCCCTTTCTTTCTTTTCCCAACAAACCTTTCTACCCCCCCTTCTTCTAGCCTCTGCCTTACCGGCTTCCCTTCTCTGTCGTATTTCTTTTCCCCTTTGTTTACAATCATCATATTGGTTTTGCACTTTATTTTTCCCTTTCTTAAATGTTTTTTTTAGATCTTAAGTCCTTAAGTCCTTTAGTTTTCTTCTTTTCTCTTCTTTTCTTTTCTTTCTCTCTTCCTTTTTTCTGGATCAAATTCTGAGATTCATTAAAGATGGCTCCTTCCTTTCTTTCTTGTTCCTCTGCTGTCTTCATCTGTTGTAATTTTTGTTGATAATTAGTAAGCGCCATTTCTAAGAAAAGGAAAGCTTCTTCCACACCATCTTTACCATTTTTTTTGCTTGTTCATATTCTTTTCTTAGTTCCTCAACAGAAAGAGCCATTATAAATCTTTTCTTTTCTTTTCTCCTTCTTTCTTCTTACAACAACCAGAATATTCAAAAGAAAATAAAAAAGATAAAACAGTCCCAAAATTATCAATCAGTCCAAACCAAGGCAGAGTTCTCACTTTCTCCTTCTGGGGTAATATCAATCAAAGAGAAAGAAAGTCCAAATCTGTTTAAAATCTTATTACAATATATTCTAGTCTTCAAATCCTTAAGGCATCTGCTCCAACAAAATCTTAGCATACAAATATTTTCTTTTTAATCCTCTCTCTTCCCACTCATCGCTTAAAACCAATTTCCACCTAAAAAAATAGGTTTCTTAATATCCAGTTATTTATTCCGTAGGAAAAGAGGGAAAGCTATCCTTTCAGCACCTTCAAGCAGCCGCTTTTTTCCTCTTCTGGCAGGTATTATTCAGAAAGTCATACTTTTCAGGAATTTTATTAAATATGTCTTAGAGTCCTAGGAGCCAAGAAAAACTTTCTCCTCTCAATCACTTTCTCCACTTCCTCCTGCGCATTCTTACCCGGCTGCCAGCTTCTTTGTGGCGGCCATTACGGACCGCCGCTGCACCGTCCTGGGAAAAGGGGGTTCTGCCGGCCAGGGAGGGGGTCTGCAACACCCCCAGTCCCTTCTCCGGATCCCCCCTACCTTCAGCTGCCCCTGCAGGGCAGCCTAGCTCCGTACCCGGCTGGGTCGGAGCCCCAAAAACGGCTAGCGCGGCAGGGATCGCGCAGCTTCGCAATTCCCTGCCGCTCGCGAAGCCGACAAACCGGAAGTCCCCAGGCAGTCAGATTCTTGACATCTCTGGACTTTCCCGGTTGCGGTGCCCACTTGCGGGGCAGCTCTGGGAAGGGAGGGGTCCTTGGGTGATGCTGCAGGAAGAATCACTGGGTGTTTCAGTCTGGTGCAAAGCCAGCTTGCCCTTCTGTGGCACACTTTGGGAAGGGTGCAAACGTTTCCTATAACAGGGGTGGTACCTTGGCAAGCCAAACTACTGCTCTGCAATAGCATTGTGGTCTCCTGGCTACTGTAACAACATCATACACTAATCATCATCTTTATCATCATCAATATCAGTGGTTTATTTTCTGTGACTTCAAGAATAAATGTGGAGTGATTATTAAAATCAGTGGCCAATATAAATAAACATACTGATGTATTTACTCATACAGAGGGAATGAATGAGGGTTGAACGATAAAGTAAATATTATTTAGTTAATTAGTTTATTTTATTTTTATCCCACCTGTATTACTTTATAAGCAACCCAAGGCAATGCATATACCTAGTATCCTTTCAACTTGTATTTATTCTCCCTTTCTTCAGAAGTACAAAGAAGTTCCATAGTGGGTTTGGTTTTTGTTTTTTTGCTACAAGAATACATCTGTGAGGTAGTTTGGAGTAAGAAATTGACTGTCCACTGAGCAGCTGTAGCAGAAGAAGACCAGAACCTGGGTTCTGCCAATCATAGTACATAGACTATTTCATCATGTTGGCTCATTCTCTTCTTTCCCTTGGGAAAGGAGGAGAAATAGGCTGAAAAGAAGCAGAAAGGCATGACTGTAAGGAGTTAATGAGAACTTTAGAGTGAGAAGTTCAAAGTTTAAAGGCAATGTATGAAATACTGTATAGATAGAAGATGGAATGGTTTGCAAAGATAAAAAGTTATAGAGCTGTGGTGGTGCCATGGTTAAAATGCAGTATTGCAAGCTAATTCTGCCCACTGCCAGAAGTTTGATCCTGACCGACTCAGGGTTGACTCAGCCCTCCATCCTTACGAGGTCGGTAAAATGAGGACCCAGATAGTTGGGGGCAATACTCCGACTCTGTAAACCACTTAGCAGCAAAGCACTGTGAAGCAGTATATAAGTCTTAAGTGCTATTGCTATTGCTATGGAGTATAGTGAATGGTGTTGGTGTATACTATTAGATTTTCTTTTCTTAACTCCAGTCAATGCCTTTAATTCCCTTTGCAAAACACCCCTTAGTCTTTTTTTTTCTTGCTTTCCATAACATTACATATTTTGGAAGGGAATAGTGAGATGATTGTGTATATGGATCAAATCCATCTGAAGCCATTACAATCTTTGTGAAACTTTTGCATTTTTTTCCTCCCTTAAATAATTCAGTGGAGAGGAGCCAAACCCAACTTTTCTAGAATTAAAATAAAGCCTCTTTTCAGAAATTGCAATAAGTACCTGTAGAGAAGGAAGCAGACTTTCGGGTATCCTATCTGGACACTTTAGATTAGTTAGAGCCACAGTGGCGCAGTGGTTAGAAAGCAGTACCACAGGCTACTTCTGCTGACTGCTGGCCGCCTGCAATTTGGCAGTTCAAATCTCACCAGCTCAAGGTTGACTCAGCCTTCCATCCTTCTGAGGTGGGTAAAATGAGGGCTGTAAAGCATTGTAAAGCCGTATATAAGTCTAAGTACTATTGCTATTGCTATGAATCCAACCCCACAAGTTTTATTGTGCTTGGAAATGAACAAAAGACAAGTTGGGCTCAAGTACAACTACAGAGTTTTTAAAGTGCAAATCAGATTGCTCTCTGACTTTAGTGCTCCTAATTTCCAAAATGTTATAGTGACAAAGTTTTATGGGTTCCATTTTACCGATGTAACCAAATCACATTAGAGCTGTTACATCCATCTTCTGCCTTCCTGGGAAAAGAGAAATATTTTGCCCTTCACTGTTAAGATACAAACCAGCCAAGTGGCGCCTTACTTAACAAAACCTGTGTATATCTAAATGGCTGAGTCTTTGTGAGACAAATCAGAGACAGACAGCATTAAAGGTTGAGCTCATCTACTTAAAAAATCTGCAAAGAATTTTCCTTTACAAGTGTAGGGAAAATGCCACGCCTTCATTGAGAATAAATTATTTTTTTGTGTGAGTTTTATTTGACTTATGGGCTTTCTATAGGGCCTCTTTTCTAAAAAAGATCAAATTTGTAAAAAGTACTGACACAGAAGCAAATGTAAACCATGATATGGAGTGTTTTTTCATATTCCCATCATCTTTTGGAATGAAACAGTTATGTGTTGGAATATGGAATATGTTGGTAGATTGTTTGTTGTTGGTTAAGCTAGTAGCTATCTAACTTTGGGGTATGGGTAGTCATTAACTTAACCACAATTGAGCCTGAGATTTTCGTCATAGGTCATTGCACTCATTAAGCAGCTCACCAGGTGACTGACTCAACTTGATGACTGCAGGACAGGGCAGTGAAAGCGGCTAGGCTGGAGCTTCCAAGGCCTTTGGAGTTTCGTGAGTGAAAATGATTGATTTGCACCACTGAAGTCTCCTGGGCAGTGTGGCTGTTTTGTGCTATGCTATTGGGACTTGCCTGACATTTAAGGATGGAGCTGGGAGGGATAGAGATAGGCAGTTGGGAGGAGTTGCAACATCTCTGTGGCCAATCGTAAGTGCTGGCAGGCTGCCAAGCAAGCAAACTTTGGTCCTGTGTCCATGGGGGCTTGCAATAACATTGGGCACAGGTCCTAAGTGCCCTCATTCAGTATCATCATAAGTTTGAACAGTTTCTGGACATAAGGTCATAAGTATTTTCAGACATTTTATTTCAGTCTCCTGTAGAGGAACTCAAATGGTAAATTAATAATATTCAGCACATTTTCATTAATACTGTTCTGTGTATGAATTTTCAATTTAGGACATACAGATTTAGCTCAGTGCCACATAGACTTTTATTTTTGTCTTCTTAATTTATTTTACTTAATTTTCTTTTCTAACTGAATTAAGATATATGGGATCCTGAATTATATTTATTTTTTCATACACGCGCACACACATGTGTATGTGTGTGTGCATGCTAGGTTTTTCTTTGGTTTTACATAAAGTTTATTAGTTTGGATTGGATGGAAGAACAGTATTATCAAATGACAGAAATTTTTGATTAATTTTATGACTTTATTCAGCAATATATTAGTTAAATTTTACATAAAGCTTCATGTAGAAAAATGTTAAAGAAGGATAAATAATGTATGAATTATATTTAGATATGGATTTAGATACACTTATTGGAGTAAGTGGGACAAGTTAATCATGATTCATTTAGATACCTTTAACTTCAGAAGGTGTGGTCTAGACTTAAGTTAGGAGGCTACTTTTAAACAGTCCATTTAAAGGAGCAAGCATTCTGTTAGAAAGAGATGTACGCAAAAGAGAATACAGGTATTTCTTAGTCCTTTTTTGTTGACCACAACTCAGTTGTTAATCAAAGCAGCAGTCATTAAATAAATTGTCATTGTGATTATCATTTTACTGCAGTTTTTCTTCGCTTTACAAACTTGCCAAAGTTGTAAATGCAAGAATTGGTCATAAAATTATTTTTACATCATCTTCATAACTGCCAGCAGTTGTTAAACAGGGACTGAAAACTGTTGTCTTAAGTATGTAAGACAATATGCACCAATTATATGTTTCAGAGCAATTGTTTAGGAGAAAGAGGAAAAAAAACAGGTCCAGAGAAGTTAATGTTTGTAAAGACACTAGAGCTGTGCATATTGAATCTTCATGTTCAGAATTTTCCTTTCTGTTCTTAGGTCCAAGATGCTAAATACTTATGATGTAGTATCCCCCTTTGGAACATACATTTTGAAATGTAGCATGTCTTTGGTTCTGCTTTGCCCTCCATAGAGATCACCGTTAGTCCAGATGTGCAGAGAGCAGTCTTATTCTTCCAAACGCCAGTGTGCTTCCACAGGAACTTCAGCTTCCTGGAGCAACTTTGTTCTGTAATGCCTTTCTAGACAATCCATGACTAGTGGGTATGTTGCTGGCTCAAATTTGTTGGCAAATAAATTAGGAGACTTAATAATCCACTCCAAGTCTCCAAGTCCATAGATGCAAATACCTCTGACATAATGTCCTACAAAAGAGAATTGCACTGTAAATTGATAATGCCAGGCTGGATATTATTCAGCAATGAAATATGCTGTAGGAATTATAGATGGAGAATTAGGGGAAGGAGAAGGGAAAAGAACGGCCCTTGAACATAATAACCTAAAAAGATTAGTTACTTTTTACCCTAATTTTGCTTTTGATCACAGATAAGTCCACATGTGACATGGACACACATGCATATGTGTATGAAATGGGGAAATAAGAAGGAAAGATCTACATTTTTGTTTCCTTTGAAAGAAGTTGGGAAGAATAAAGCTGGGGTTTTTTTAAAGGAAGCCACAAAATTTTACTAATTGGATAAAACTCAACCAATTATATGTATTGGATATGTCTCTAGGTGCCAATTCTTTGTGCCCCACATCGTAATTAAATTCACAATTAGGATTATTCTGTATTGCAGTTTGTTGAGTCATCTAGTGTAGTCTAACACAGTAGTTTTCTTAGCATTGCTTCAGTAGGATTTTGTGACCAGAACGTTATGCATATTTGAGCACCTGACAAGTGATGACTTCTCAGTGGTTCATGAACTAGGATTGTGTCATGTTCAGTCATTACCTTTGCAGCCATTGTGCACTTGTCCTTCTTGATCTTTCCACTTGATTGCTCGTATATTTCCTTGCCAAGTTGTGTTTAGTGTAGCACCAGGAGCATCTGTACAACCAAGGGAATTTAGATATGGATTTAGATACATTTATTGGAGTAAGTGGGACAAGTTAATCATGATTCATTTAGGTATGAAATTTAGAAATACCAACCTTGGAAAGGTTTGTTATACACGTTTTGCATTTTGAAAAACAGATTTATGCTTTGGATGTATGAATTACTCTTCTAGTATTGCTTGAAGCCTCTAAAAATTTTTGAGTGAAGTCCCCATCAAAAGTTACTACAAAATTGCATTTTTTCTTATCCTTTAGCACAAAATCAATATCAGTGAAATTTAAATTGCTCTGGTCCCCTCTACATTTTGAAGTCCTTGGCACATCAATCAAAGCTGGTATAACCCTTGATTTGGAATAAAAGTACACTTTCTATTTTAAAATAAGAATACATGTGTAAATTCTCATTAGAGATTCAATCCGCAAGGATTTGATGATACCTGCCTTTGGGGAAACTGCTTCAGGGCAGAGCTAATGCCTTATATTATAAAAACACTACGCAACCTAAAACCATCTCTATCTATTGGTCGGGATGGAATATGTGCCTACTTCTTAAAAAAGCTATCCATTGCCATAGTCAAACCTCTAAGCATAATCTTTGAAAAATCTTTCAAGACCAGCTGCTTGCCAAAATTATGGTCACTAGCCACGGTCATCCTCATCTTCAAAAAGGGAGACCCCAGCCTAGTTGAAAATTACAGACCAATCTCCTTATGCTGCGTCACCTGTAAAGTCATGGAATCAATTATTAACCAATCCATCATCCTCCACTTAGAGACAAACAACCTACTCTCCAATAAACAATTTGGTTTCAGGAAAAAACTATCATGTAATCTGCAACTCTTACACTGCAAAAACATATGGACTACACAAGTCAACCAGGGCAAAGCAATAGACGCAATCTACATAGACTTCTGTAAAGCCTTTGATTCAGTGGTACACGGCAAACTACTCCCAAAACTAAAATCTTACGGTATCTCTGGACACCTGCATAACTGGATAGAAGCATTCCTGTCAAACAGACAACAAATGATCAAAATTGGGAGCATCCTATCAAATTCTGTACCTGTCAAAAGTGGTGTCCCCCAAGGCAGTGTTCTAGGATCAACTCTCTTCATACTCTACATAAATGACCTCTGTGATCATATCAAAAGCAACTGCATTCTCTTCGCTGATGATATAAAACTATTCAACACCACAGACAATACTGCTACCCTTCAAAAAGACCTTGACTGTGTATCAGAATGGTCAAACAAATGGCAACTTCAAATCTCAACAAATAAATGCTCTGTCCTATATATTGGCAAAAAAAATCAGGAAATAAAATACAGGCTGAATAGTCAAGACCTTGTTGATAATCCAAACTCTGTCAAGGATCTTGGAGTACTCATCTCTAATGACCTAAGTGCTAGAGCCCACTATAACTACATAGCCAAAAAGGCATTAAGAGTTGTTAACCTAATCTTACGTAGCTTTTTCTCTGGTATTACACTAATAACTAGAGCATACAAAACATTTGCTAGACCAATACTCGAATACAGCTCATCAGTCTGGAACCCACATTACGTATCTGATATTAACACAGTTGAGAAAGTCCAGAAATATTTCATAAGAAGAGTTCTCCACTCCTCTACTCGTTGCAGAATACCTTATGCCACCAGACTCGAAATTCTAGACCTAGACAACCTAGAACTACGCCGCCTTCGGTCCAATCTAAGTATAGTATACAAAATCATACATTGCAACGTCCTACCTGTCAATGAATACTTCAGCTTCAACCATAACAACACAAGAGCAAACAATAGATACAAACTCAAGGTTAATCTCAGTAAACTTAATTTCAGGAAATACGACTTCAGCAATAGAGTGGTCAATGTCTGGAATACTCTACCTGACTCTGTGGTTTTTTCCCCAAACCCCAAAAACTTTAACCTTAGACTGTCTACTATTGACCTCACCCCTTTCCTAAGAGGTCTGTAGGGGGCGTGCATAAGTGCACCAACGTGCCTACCGTCCCTGTCCTATTGTTTCTTTTATATATTTTTTATTTTTCTTATATGTATCCATGTATTCATAACTATGTTTTTACTTATACCTATTATCTTGTAAGCAATTGACAAAAATAAATAAATAAATAAACAAATAAATAAATAAACTAATTACTTTCTAGGGGGTGTTCTTTGGAAGAAAAAAAGAAGGAACTCGACACGCAGTGCAGATGAGTACTGCTAGCTGTGTAATTTCTTCAGTCTGGATAGTAAGCCAATCATTGAGAATTTCAGAGATTGCAGACTGAATGGGGCTTTTCATCTCCTGCCCTTGGCCGTGCCTGCTTCTCCACCAGCATTCCTCCTCCCATGATTCTCCTCTGATTTTTCTCCTCGGCTGACATGCCCTCACCCATTCACCCTGGGCAAAGGGCCACAGCTCCTGTCTCCCACGAGCTTCGGCATAGCCAATTCTCAGAGCGAGGGTTCATCCTGGGTTTTTCCACGCCTTAGAACAGTTAGCTGCCAACCAATTGGCTAGCTGCCAATTGGGGTTTGGGGGAAGGGCTGCAGCCAAATGGCTTTAGGAAAACCAAATGCTTGTTAGGAGAAGGAACAGGAGGGGGTGGAAGCTCCCCTGTACCTGATCGTGCCTCCCTGATAAAGAACAGGGAGGGAAGAGCAGGAGGGGCGGTAAGTATGCCAGCTTCATCCAAAGGGAAGGGGCAGAAAGAGAGAAAAAGAGAGAGGGGGGTGGGAAGGGAAACAAGAAAGAAAATAAAGAAGAGAGAAAGAAAAAAGAACGAAAGAGGGTGGAAAGGGAGAAAGGAAGGAAGGAAGAGAGGGAAGGGAGACAAGAAAGAAAAGAAAGAAAGAAAGAAAAAGAAAGAAAGAAAGAAAGAAAGAAAGAAAGAAAGAAAGAAAGAAA